ATATAGAAAAGTTAAAATTTTAATTTAATAATATAAATGTATATAAATGTATATGTATATAAAAGAAGTATGTAGTGTGTATATATCGTGATAGTGAGCAGTTTCTGCAGAGGCGAGCAGCAATGAAAAATGCTGTCTTGCAAACTGGGCCAAATTATATAAACTCAGTACCCTACGTTTGTTTTCAAGCAGACTCAGGTACAATTCCTAAATGGCTAAATAAATCGAACTTGGATGTCAGATGTACTCTGCGATGCACCAGGGGCTCTAAATGGCCTGAGCTGTAGTTACAACTTTTAAGCTTCTGGAAAACAGAACCAGAAGTCTCCATTTGCTCCATTAGATGTTGTTGAATGGGGGCCATGGGGTGTCATCCGCTGCTGATCTCTGGGGTAAAGAGTGTTTTTACATAAGCTTCCACTGACCGTTACATGATGTCAAAGCTCACAGCATTGAATTCCCCTGCTAATGCCATTAAAAATGGCCTCTGTGGGAGAGCGTCGCTGTCACTGAGCCTTAGTCACAGAAAGCCACGGCAATACTTTGAAACGGAACTGAACCTGGTCTTGTGGGATATGAATAATTTCAAAACTAAGGCACTAGAAGAGATCAACTTAAATTTGGTTTCCTTTAGCTATACTAGATTGCAGTATAGAATATAAAGCTATAGTATATTGCAGTATAGAATATAAAGCTATAGTAGATTCCTTTAGCTATAGTTGATTGCAGTATAGAATATAAATATCTGTTGTATTTGTACTTTTGTATTTTGTACTTTGCCAGATTTAAGTTGCATGGCGTTTAGATATAAAGTTGAAGTTTCAGTGTCTTCTAGGTTAGGGTGGTAGAAAAACACATGCATCTGTCCCCCTTAGTCCGTTTGCCGCGTGGCCCCCTCAAAGCGCGGGGCACCAGTAGCACCACCCTAAGGACAGCCCTGGTACACATTTACAAATGGACAATATCATTGTAGGAATAATCAATATAAATAAATACCTAGATAATAATACAATTCAATTCTCTGACACATAAATATACATATCTGTCATTACATAAATATAAAACTAAACAACACTGGTCATCACGTTTAAACCAGTTTCCACAAATAATAATCAGTTAAGGGGTAGAGGCTTCATCTTTTAAAATATGTGATCATAGGTTGCCACATCTCATAATTTTTGAACAGATCCCTTCATTAAATATTTAATTTTCTCTAATTGCTTGCATATTTTTTTTTTTTCTGGCTATACTTCTGATAAATTTTACCATAGAAGTAAAAGATGTTGACACGACAGTCACTTTCATGTAAGTAACATAAAAATGGTGAGGCCTGCCATTCTTGGTTTTGCTTGTGCAACATCCACAAACAATTTCTTCACAAAATATGTGTTTATTGAGCTTTTTTCTCTTTTAGGTTGTGATTGGGGATAAAGTGGTTTTGAATCCCGTAAACGCAGGACAGCCTCTACATGCCAGCAGCCATCAGCTGGTGGACAATCCTGGCTGCAATGAGGTTAAACTGCTTTTTCTTTCAGTTTGGCATTACACCATGTACTGTGAATGTATGTAAATAACATTATAAATACAGTTCTGCTCTTAACGGCTATGCAATAAGTGCTTTAAATGGAAACGTACTGTCTGTAAATTAGCTTTAGCTGCATAAAACTGGAATTACTGTCCATTCAATTAGAACCCAGTGTTAGTGTGAAGGCTATTATGATATGATAACACTAATTTAAGAGCCACTTTCTCTGCCAGAATGTCAGAGAAATTATGGATTATAATGGATTATGAATTATTGTTTTAAGTAAGTGCTAATGCTCAAAAAAAAAAAACATAGTTTATCTTATGACACCCCCTCCTCCCTTTTTCCTCTCCGTTCTCCTCAGGTGAACTCAGTGAACTGCAACACTAGCTGGAAGATTGTTTTATTTATGAAATGGAGTGACAACAAGGAAATCATTCTTAAAGGGGTAGGTGCTTCACACACATGGAATATGGTCTGAGTTCCTGGAGTTGTTGTTGTTGATGGTTCTAGAATGTGATGTTGCTAATTCCTTCTTTCTGGTTGCTAAGGGTGATGTGGTTCGACTGTTTCATGCCGAGCAAGAGAAGTTTCTCACTTGCGATGAACACAGGAAGAAGCAATATGTGTTCCTGCGAACCACCGGCCGCCAGTCCGCCACCTCTGCTACCAGCAGCAAAGCACTGTGGGAAGTGGAGGTGAGTTGCATGTTTTGTCCATTAAGATTATCTTTTCACTTTTCAAATGAACACAACTGTTATGAATTTGGCCTAAATACAGTTGCCAGATGTAAAAAGCTAACATGAAGGCATAAACTACACCACGGTCGCATGACTTAAACGTCACTTCTAATAAGCTTCCGCTAACTCTTTCAATCTTAAATTAAATCAAAATTCTTTATTTAAAATCTACAAGGAAAGTTTGTGAGGCTGTTAAAGCAGACTAGTGAGTAGATGAGTTTTTCTGTTCAGCATTATGATATTCAATCAATCCCTTCAGTTTTCGCAATTCAGTGATCGAGAAAGTGCGAAATCAAAAAAAAAGTTTTTTTGTTTTTTTTTTGCAAACCATAATTCGCCATTTAACTGCAAAATAATCACCAAAAAAAAGCAGAAATCCATTTGGAGCTGTGCGTTAGGTCTTAAAGTGACAGCAGCCTAATAACCCTGCTGCTGTCTGTGTCTTTAATCAACAACAACTATGTTAATCAACAACACAATACAAAGAAAAATATCACTCATACTCCTGAGTGAAGAACTTTAGTAGATTTAAAGGGATAGTTCACCCAAAAGTGAAAATTACCTCATGATTTACTCACCCTCAAGCCATCCTAAGTGTATAGGACTTTCTTCTTTCAGATTAATACAATCTGAGTTATATTAAAAAATGTCCTGGCTCTTCCAAACTTTATAATGGCAGTGAATGGCTGTTGAGATTTTGAAGTCCAATAAAAGTGCGTTTTTGGGTGAACTATCCCTTTAATAATGACCAATGTATATTTATTTCATACACTAAAGACTGTGCAGTGTTTTATTTTAAATTTGATTATTCCGTTTCTGTAATAGAAACATTTCTAGAAACTATCACCTTAAAATTAGTCATTTTGATCGTAATGAAGCCCTGGTAGCAGGGGCGTAGATTACGTGGGGGACGCGGGGGACGTGTCCCCCCCACTTTTAATATCACATAAATTCGTCCCCCCGCACTTTTTCGGGCAAGTGTGTTCGCATAGACGGTGTGAGTAAATATAGATTTAAATTCAAAGATCGGACGTTCAAATAAACTTATTTACGGGTTTTAGGACTCATTCCCACAGCACTCTTATTGTAATTTTGTGCGAAGGGTCCCTTTAAGTACAGCATATGCTAATTGTGCCATTCCTCCCAATCTCATATTTCAGGTGGTTCACCATGACCCGTGTCGCGGTGGCGCTGGTTACTGGAATAGTCTTTTCAGGTTTAAACACCTGGCCACAGGACACTACCTGGCAGCAGAGGTGAGTGAGGTGTGTTCTACTAGCTCGGGACCCTCCCTCAGCTGTTCCCAGATCAGCACTAACCTCTCTCACTGGGTAGGGGACCTTACTAACTTCCTCTAGATTTTCTCTGGCTAAAAACTGCAGTCTGTAAGATTTTCAGCATCCCTCTGGAGGTTTCCATCAGACCTCAAACCTGACTCGAGCTAATTTTTGCCCAGCTAGATGCCAAATTGATTAAATCTTACATAGTGCAGCTTTAATCACATCTATGGCGCTGTTCTTTGAACATGGCTAGCTTGGTTAGCAAGATATGTTTAAGGATATTTTGACATAAACCTGCATTATATGTATTTTTAACCTTCTGAGCACTTTTTACTTCAAAATTTGATGCATTTCAGAGTGACAATGAAAATGAAAATGCAATGAAAAAATGAACAAGTCTTTTGTTTTGATGATAGATTTTATATACTAATTATAGGTTATTTTTCTCATTTTTAATTACTTTCCAACTCATCAGAAGCCATTCAATAGTTTAATGTGAGGGATGAATATTCAAGTCATTAAATTAAAGTTCAAATTAGTTCCAAAATAAATAAATAAAAATAAAGTTCAAAATGTTTTATTAACATTTTTCCAGATTTGGCTACACTTACATTTAGTCATTCAATTTTTTCACTGAATGTTTAGATTTTATAAAATTATGCAATCAAGATTCCCCCCCCCCCATAAAATACTCAGAATTTTGGTATTTGAATTGGATTGGTTCTGAAAAAAAAAAAGGGATTGGTGCATCCCTAATTTTTATTTTAGTTTAGTTCTTAATGTAGTTTTGAGATATGCTTTTGTCATTCTTCTTTTTTTATTACTACTACTATTTAGGTTTAATACATTTTTATTTCACTTTTAGTTTTTATTTATTTCCAGTTAGTATGTTAGCATGTTAATGCTCATTTTTTTTTTAGTGTTTTTTTCTTTTTTACTTTTTCATTTGTTATTTCAACAGCTTCATTTTAATTAACAAAATCGTTTTAATTATTTACTTGCATTATCTTTGTGTAATATTAAAATTTGTTTGATGATCTGAATCTTTTAAGTGCGACAAATATGCAAAAAATTAAAAAAACAGGAAGGGGGCCAACACTTTTTCACACCACTGTATATATAAAATGATGTACACCAGTTCTTTACAGTGGGACAAGGAATTTAAATTATAGTAAAAGGGGTTAAATCTGAAATCATGTGCATGAGCTTTAAATAAAGGAAAATCTTGGGTTTATGTCAAATCTTGAAACGTATCTCTCTAACCAAGTAGAACATGTTCAAAGATCAGGACCCTGTCTTACTTTATTTTAGTTTTAATAGGTTGTGCCTAATCAATCAATGAATTGATTTCCTGATCAGTTGCCTGCCAAATAGAATGATCTGATTTCTTTTAGCATTTTGAGGACATTTTTGGTGATTTATCCGTTCACAGGTTAATCCTGACTATGAGGAAGAGTCACAGGAATCACGTTCATCTGTAAGTAGTTTCATTTCTGTTAAATAGTTGTCATTCTTGTGTACTGTACTGTGTGGATATACAGTATGTGTGCTGGCTGATTTTTTGTTTCCGGTTTCAGGTGGCAGATTTTTCACCCTTTAACTTCCAGGTACTGTCAGACCTACTCTCATACAACGCTTATGTAGCTTCATCTTCATGGTCAAAGTTCAAAATCAAAGCACGCCCCTTTAGAACTGTTCCCCATAATTCTCTTTGCATAGCTCTGTGCGTTCTATACAGTATGTGTTGTTGTGAAGTGTTTGTGATCTTTGCAGCTTTGTTTGTTGTTGTTGCTCATTATAGTTTTAAAATGTGGTTCTGTACACGTTATGATACATCAACAGCATTTGTGGGCAAAATTCAGTTACGGTGTTATTTTAATATTATCTATATACTATTTTAGTATTTGTTAATATTTCGAATGGGATTTTATTTTTGATTTCATTATGTTTTTAATTTAGTTTTAGTTTTAGTAATTTTTAAAAACGTGTTTTTCTGTCCTTTTTAATATTTCTAAATAGCTGTCATTATTATTATATATTTTTTTCAGTTTTAGTTTTATACAAATTATTACTACAACTTTATATCAGTTACTTGCCAATGCCTCCTTTCTAATTTTTGGTTAAGTTTTTTTTTTTTAAATAAAAAATATTTTAAATAAAATATTTCATTTCATTTCAGCTTAGTTTTAGCTTTTAGTTTTAGTTAACAATATCAAAACTGTTTATAATGAAAGTAATGGGGGGAAACCCACTGAATAGAATGTGTATCTGCGAGTGTAGCTACGAGACAAGAAATGTATATGTAAAATCCCTACCAACCTTGTCTGTGCAAAATTATATGAAATATTAAAACTCTTTAAAACTGATCATGCAAGTAAACCCTGTGACTTTTGCATCATACATGCTTGGATACAGGTAGGAGACTGTTTTAATAGAGAAAAATACCAAACACAGAAACTGCATTGATGACTAAAACTACAAGTCTGTTTGCCTAGAACTGTAGTCCCACCAAAAAAACAAAAAAAAAACGACAAATTTGATAGCCTTGCAGTTCAAATAATACACATTTTAAGAACAACAAGTCTGTTTGCCTAGAACTGTAGTCCCACCAAAAAAACAAAAAAAACCGACAGATTTGATAGCCTTGCAGTTCAAATAATACACATTTTAAGAACAAATAATGCAAGTGTTTTAACAAAAATACAACCTTCACATTTCTGTATGTAAACCCTTAAAATGCATTACAGTCAATTTAATTTTTTTGGTAAAAGATTTTATGCCATAAATGCTGTTGAATCTAACTTGAATAGAACCCCAGAATATTTTAAGAAAAATTCAGTTTCATTTCACTCACAAAGTAAATGCACTATTTATCTTTTTGCCTAGAACTGTAGTCCCACCAAAAAAACAAAAAAAAAACGACAAATTTGATAGCCTTGCAGTTCAAATAATACACATTTTAAGAACAAATAATGCAAGTGTTTTAACAAAAATACAACCTTCACATTTCTGTATGTAAACCCTTAAAATGCATTACAGTCAATTTAATTTTTTTGGTAAAAGATTTTATGCCATAAATGCTGTTGAATCTAACCTGAATAGAACCCCAGAATATTTTAAGAAAAATTCACAGTTTCATTTCACTCACAAAGTAAATGCACTATTTATCTTTTAAAAAATCAACCACAAGGTGGCCCTCTAGCTGTGAGTAAAGCAGTTTGAGCAGTGCAGCTCATCGCCTGCAGGTGGCAGTATAACCCCGTCATTTGTTTAAAGCGGCAGTTCCTCCTTTGTTGCTAGTGTGCATGTACTAAGCTTTGCACCCAAATCTCAATTTAATCATTATGTTTGTTGATAACAGACCCTTAGGTCAGGTTTATAAAATCTAAGTTGAAAATTTCCCCTGAGTTTCTCTGAAATGAACCAAGAAGCAGTTAACTTTATTGTTGACTAAAAAACTGCTAAACCTGTTTTGCTAGAACCCACATATACCGCACCATGAGACTGATCGAGAGATGCTTCTTTGTCATGTTCTCGAACGCTTTGTAGAACTTCATGTCACATGCAGAGTTGTAAGCATGTCACGAATCAAAGATTGTTTCCTCAGCTAAGACTGGTTTTATCTTAGTCACATAATCAATAAACTGAGCGAGGTGTTGTGTCTCCATGGTTACGTGGTCCCCTCTCTCCTCTAGCTGGACTCGGAGCTTGAAGCTCTGCGAGCACGTCTGCGAACACCCAACGAGAAGGTCCTGTACACCCTCGTGTCCGTCCCTGATGGCAATGACATCTCCTCCATATTTGAGCTGGATCCCACCACCCTCAGAGGAGGAGACTCCCTCGTCCCCAGGTACACACTGGACCATAATTGCATTATAATAAAATAATTTAAGGTATAACCATCTTTGAAACCAGTACAGGTTTAAATGTTACAGTTCAAAACTGCATATGTCGTTAATTGTTATAGTGATCCTATACAAACTTACCTGAACAGTGTAAATCTGCTTTGTAGTAGGCCACATGATGAATTCAAGTTGGTCAAAACTAAATTTAGCATGAGCTCTGCTCACGAGTGATTTTTAAAATACTAATATAGCAGTGTGTCTGTGTTTTATCTATTATAATGTTATTGTATTATCTACTATAATTTATTATATAATATTAAAAAAAATTCTGCATCATATATATATATATATATATATATACAGTATATAAGTATCCTATACTAGTGGCCTAAGACTTTTGCACAGTACTGTACATATATACTGTGCTGTATGTATATATATATAACTCATCAAATGTGAAGGGGATTTTGAAATATACTTTATTTGTTTTTCATTGTAAATTGTTTACTTTTTTATATACACAAAGATGTATGTATATATAAATGCTTTTTTATATACAAGTACTTTTTTATATACACAAAGTTTGATTTGTATTCAGCACCAAAAGTATGTAAACATGTAAAAATATAATATTGTACTTTTCATTTTAGACAATATTCTACAGTAAAAATTCTATTTAAAGTTAAATCTAATCTTTGTAACCATATTTGGTAATGTTTATAGATAAGCAAGCAACCAACCAACCAACAGATGAATTATAATCTGCTTGAAGAACATTTTTGGCAGTTTTAAGTTTCTTTATAATTTGTTGCTTTGAGTATTTACTATAATATTTTACATGGCAAGTAAGCATGTTTCATATCCAAATACTCATTACCATTAGGCAACATAGTGCTGTTATTAGTTATTAATAATATAAAATATATTGTAATATTTTGACTCACTGACTGATTGATTAAATAAAATAAAATTAAAAATAAATAAAATTAAATACATTTAAATAAAAATGTTTACAATTAAACATTTGTGATGTTTAACTTTAAATATTACTATAATCATCACTGAGAATAATTAGAATAATATAGTATAACAAAGAATTTGAGGGAAAATTAATGAAAATAATATAAAAAAGTCTTTTTAGGAGGAAGTTTGACCTGTAAATATTTCTGCTGTTTACCCCATTAAATGACAAAATAGAAATGTATGTGATTAATTGGTGTAGTAGTGCATGCAGAGATTGTATAATGTAAATTGTGTTGGCAGCTCAGGGTTAATCAGACTTTGAGTTGGAGTGGTAGGTTCACTGCTGTCAGTTTGAGCTCTGAGTAATGTGAGATTCCTGTTTATGATACGAGATTCATGTCTCGATCTCTGATTGTGAAGAGTGAAATATGATTTTGCCCCAGCCCAACCCATCCAAAATCCACACAGTGGCTGATTAAGTTGTTTTCAGGCCTGTGGGATATTTGAATTTAGTAGTAAACGACCCTTAATGAACCTAAAGAGAAAATGTATCTGATTCATATGGCTATGGATACAAGTCACAGGAAAGATGTCGTTTTGCACTCATGCATTTTCCTGGTATTTCTGGAAGTCGCCTGCATCTCCCGAGGTCTGGTGACTCGTTTGGTTTGTTTTTAACTATAAGATCTGTTGTCTCAATGAATCATGCATGACAGAACACGAGAGAGAGATGACAGATTTGGAAAAATGCACACATGCGATCACATGTCTGCTCTCACACCCATCAGACTCTTTGTCCACATACCACACAACCCAAGCGCTTCCAGGGTGGAGTGCGCACGTGTCGCATTGTGTGTGTGCTTGCCTCATCCAGATACCTGCAAATTCGTACTTTTCTTTCTGAAAATAGCCAGGAAAGTCCCGACAGGGTGTGGAGGCAGGAAATCAGGGTGACCGTGCACTTTGCCAGCGTGATATCTTTCCATGTTGTCGAGACATGTTGTTAAACCAGAAGCCAGATGTTGCGTAACCGTCCACCCCCAGATTCCCTTATTTATGTAAGCAATCACTTGGAAAGTGGTTTTATGAAGTCATCTTCCTTGCTGCTCAGAATCAGAAGATAGTAGGGGAAATTCTGTTTTGGTATTAAATGGGTGAATCACATGAAGGTGTCCAGATTATGTTTATGATTGATGTACATAGAATTTACAAAAGTTTATAGAAAGCATATTAAATCCCAGTAAAGTGTGCTGAAATGTTCCAAATAACGTCTGTGAAAATAATGGGTCAAAATATGGGTGAAATAATATTTTAAATGATTATTATTTTTGCTGACAAATTGTTAAAACAGTGGTTTGAAGGATAGTGGTAAGATTTAAAATGGTAATGAATTCATATTTAGGGGCTGCACTGTGGTCCTTAAATAGTGTTTTTTTTTTAATGTCTTGTAATGATTTGTAAATATTTTTTAATAGTTTTAAATATGCCTGTTAGGATTTTTTTGGTACATAAACTATTGTGAAACTGAAAAACATTTTAGTGGGTGTCTTATGTAAATCTTGGTAAAAATGAATGATATTTTCTTTCATTATTGTTTTGCTCAAAAAATAAAATAAAGCAGGGCACATTCTAATGTATAAGAAGAAAAAAAAATCTGTAATAAACTTTTATAGTTTTAATGCTTAAAAACACTTTTGTCCATAGGCTATATGTTATGTGTGTTTGTTATATACATACATATATATTGTATGCATATGCAGAATTGATAATTACAAAAAACAAGAAACTTTATATATATTTACTTTTTTATTATTTATTTAAAAATGTATATTTTATATAAATTTTAATTAATTTTTTTTGTTATTTATATATTTTATTTATCCTTTACCGTTTAAGATGTTTTCCATTGTGGCATTATTTACTTCTTCCAAATTTGCATTGCCCTAATATATCCAGTAGTTTAACCTTTTGATTTTTTTTTAAAATTTTTTTTTTTATATTTATTTTTTTTGGCATTGTGGTCATGGGTGCTAAAAAATAACCTTTTAAATAACATTTTCAAAATGTAACAACTTATTAATTTCTTGTGATTTTTGTGGTGATATAGGACCCAGACACTTTCTTGAAAGGTTTCATGACATGAGTTTCTATTTGAATGCAGTCTGATGCATGTGAGCGTGAGCTGATGACGGATGTGTGTTTGTGTGTCTTGAATCAATAACTGCTTCTTTGTATTTTGAGTCTATGGGCCTTGAACACATCTATAGGTTATCAACCCTCTCAATCACATGCTTTGAATGGGTTTCATGAGACACTAAGCCGCTGGCAGTCATGTGTGTAACATGCTGAACTGTGGCCTTATCTTGTGTGTGAGAGAGATCATCTTTAAGTTGGGTCCTAGTAAAAGGATTTTCAAAGTCATGGCTTTAAGTGTGACCTGAAATACCCTCAGTCTCACAAACCAGCACTCGTTCACGGTACCGGAGGGCTGTAGATGTGACTAATTAGCCTAAGGGAGCACAGGGGGCACACACACACACACTCATACACACAAAGATAATCCTGTTAGTCACATAGGCGATTACACATCTGTGCCAGGAATACAGATGTGTCTGATGTCCACTTGTGGTCCGTCTAAAGCCTGGTTATGTGTGTGAGTATGTTTGTGTGAACTATTAGGCCCAATTTTACTTACTTGTGTGTGTAATTGTATAGATGTGTGTCCTTTGAGTGAATGAATTCTGTGACTCTTTGGTTACATTCAAGCCTCAGTTGAATGAGGCCCAAATCAGATCCTCATGAAATGACAGTGACACAGAGCTGGGTGACAGATGGCAAAAATCATATTTTCAGTTTTATATGTCAATCTAATGTGTATTTGATGCATGCCATTTTAAGATCAAGTCTAACTGAATAAAGAAATACTCAGTCTGATATGAATTAGACTCTTTCAAGTGCAAAAATAGCCTCTGGAATTAAAAAAAAAAGTAAGTCAGTAAGATCTTTCTCTCTTATGATCACCTAGGCTGCATTTATTTAAACAAAAATGCCGTAAAAGCTGTAGTATTGTGAAATATTTTTCCAATTTAAAATGGCTGTTTTCTGTTTTAATATATGTTACAATGCAATTTATTCCTGTGATGCGAAGCTGAATTTTCAGCATCATTACTCCAGTCTTCAGTGTCACATGATCCTTCAGCTGATTTGGTGCTCAAGAAACATTTCTTATCATTATCATTGTTGAAAACAGTCGTGCTGCTTAATATTTTTGTGGAAAATGTGATGCATTTTTATGATTCTTTGATGAATAGAATGTTTTAAAGAACAGCGTTTATTAGAAATGTTGTTTTTTGCCACTTTTGATCAATGTAATGCACCCTTGATGAATAAAAGTATTAATTAAATTAAAAAAAGAAAAGTTGACCTAGAGTTAAGAGGTGACATTCTCTCTCACACTCACACACGCACACACAAAATAGAAAATAATGCCAAATCATGTTCTAGGTGGAGTATTTCTTTTCGTCAGTAATGTTCTTTGTACCATTATTAATTTTTTTCCCTTCCTCTCCATTGCAATTATTCATGCAATTTGACACCAACCTCCACTGCATAATATATTTCTCATTGTCTCTCTCTCCCCTTTTTTTAATGTTTCTGATGATGCAGCTCAGTTTAGAAGCATTGCCTGTTTAGACCAGTACCACATTTAAAAAAACAGATTGGATTACTGTGTGAACGTCGCCTTTGTGTGCAAGACTAATGTGAACAGGTGCATTGTGCTTGTGGCAATTTCGTAAAACGAGCATGAATTAACTATCTGGCCTGACAGGTATTGAACTTCCTTGTAGGGGTGTGTTTAAGCACCACACACACTTACACGCACTAAGAACAATAGTAGCTTTGATAGCCAGAAGGTCTGTGTGTGTAACTGCTATAGCTTCCCGCAGGCGCTGTTGGAGTCAGCGGCATGAACTCAGGGAAAGTTCATGTTTGGATTGTGCAGTACAACTACAAAAGCTTAAGTCTGCGAATGCATGAGCCTTAGAGCTAATTACTTAAACTTATTATCACAAACTATCACAAAAGATCTCAATTAGATCTGACTTAAGAAACATTATGTTCCTTACATTAGAGTTGCGGAGACTGGCACAGATGTTTGTTTGATATCCTCAATAGAGCCACTGTTCGGCATTAGACAGTTATATCCTCTTAAATGATGGATTCAACACCACATGAGTTTACAGGGGTCACAATGACCAGAAGGCTTCCCACCCCACCATATATGCCCTGAACCTAGTGACTTTTAAAGGTGCTCACATGACGTCTTAGTACAAAAGTGATTTATCCCCTAGTGAGCAATTGAATGACTGCTAAACTGAACTCATTTGCCCCCTAAATGTGACCCTAGACGACTCTCGCCACAGCAGGAATGTGCTGAGACCTCCTGTAACCTCTTGATGGTCTTAAGATTAAGGGTTAAAGGAGGTTATCAATTACCTTTCCAGTTACCTTCATTCATGTATAAATATTTAATGTAATTACATTTAAAATAAATAATGTACAAACGATTGAATAAATACATAAATATGTACATGCATGCATTTATACATAAATAAAAAAAAAAACATTTATAAACATTTCATTGCATTTTAAGTTAATAATATTAATAATAGTAGTTATTATTACGAGATGCTCATGAGTGCCATGTGAGCATCTATGTGTCGGTAATTTGTACAAAGCACAAGGTCACAATTTATTTTTTTTTATTAAGCAGATCATACATTTTGATATCTTTGACATGAGTGTTAGTGCTATTGAGTCTTTTTGTTTCCTCCTCAGGAGCTCGTATGTGAGACTGAGGCACTTGTGCACCAATACATGGGTCCACAGCACCAACAACCCCATAGACAAAGAGGAGGAGAAGCCAGTTATGTTACGGGTGGGTGTTGTTTTAGTAATTCGCAAAAAAATTCGATTAATTAATCTAATTAATCGCAAATTACATTTGGCTGTGAAATTACCCACAAAAGATATTTTAAAACCATTTAAAGCCATATTGTGTTAAATGAGAAAGTATCAAGTAGACATTACAAATAGTAGCTTTAGAAATAAATCTTTCATTTGATTCAACATAAAATTTATTACACAAACATTTAGGCTACAATTAACGGCCTAATATAAACTAAGGAACATAAAAGAAGGCACAAGGGTAGTTGATGACAGAATTAAAATTTTGGGGTGAACTATACCTTTAAGGTTTTTTTAATGAAATGATACTCTAAATAAGAAACTAAAGCTACCAGCAAATGGTCTTTATGAGTCTTTCATTCATTCGAATGAATGAACATGATTCGTTCAAAACGCTGATTCATTCAGAAACGAATCACTGCTGTGTTGCTCGGAGACGCACAACAATTCTGCTATGGCTATAAAGTAATATTTTCTCTGCAGAATTGAGCAAAGCAGACAATATTGTATTTAAAATGATATAGAAAACAATATTAACTTCTTATTTACTGAACTGTTATATAAAATCACATTTAAACTCGTGATAGATCGGGACAAACAGCACTCGTGTGATGCTCTCGCTGCCCGTGTGATATCGTTTATCATATGATATAAATATGAGACAAAAACATTTTTGTCAACAGTCAACTGTATGAAATGTAAGATGATGTACAGGTCTGGGGGTGGGACCAGTGCGTTAACTGCGTTAAAATAATCACGTTATTTTTTCATAACTAATGAAGTTAATGTGTTAAACTGACAGTTCTTTTATATATATATATATATATATATACACATATACATATTAAAAATCGAATTTTAAATAAATATAATTATTAATGCCATGGTGATCTTTTTTTTATGAAGAATATATAAATATGAATATGTAAAGAATATAAAAAGTATGAAGTATACATCAATCTATATAAAACACATATATATATATATAAATAAAGTCTGTGTAAAATAAGAAGTTATAGAATGTAAAAAATATATATATAAATTATATTTAAAATTACATTTTAAATAAACAATATGCCATGCTGAAATATTTTGTATGAAGTCTATGTAAAATGTAAAAGTTATAAAATAGAATGTATTATAGTCGACGTCATCTTCAATATAATATTGTTCCTATTATCATGTTATCGTCATATTATTGTTGCACTAAATTGCAATTTGTTTTCTCCTTCAGATTGGCACATCTCCTATCAAAGAAGATAAAGAGGCCTTCGCCATTGTGCCAGTCCCTCCTGCGGAGGTGAGGGACCTAGACTTAGCCAACGATGCCAGTAAAGTGTTGGCATCCATCGCTGGCAAGCTAGAGAAGGGCACAATCACCCAGAATGAAAGAAGGTACGACCCCTGAGATTATCTGGGATAGGAATGTGCTTGAGTTCTTTAGCGACCCCTGACTAAATGTTTTTGCTTCGACCTCATTTAACACTTCACGTTGTTTTACTGTATCAATTGATTACAGTGTACAAACTCTATGTGGGAACTATTCCCAGAGGTTTAAACTGGAATTTCAAAAGCATTGCTGTGATGAATGTGCAACATTTTCCACCACTTCTAGTGGAAAATTAAGTATTTTGCCCTTGATTAGGGACTGTTATGAGTTTAAACCAACTTGACCTTCTTTTCTCTGCACATTCTGTAGGTTTGTCACTAAGCTTCTCGAGGACCTTGTGTTTTTCGTGGTGGACATTCCCAACAATGGCCAGGATGTTTTGGAGATCATGGTCAATAAACCCAACCGTGAACGGCAGAAACTCATGAGAGAGCAGAATATCTTAAAACAGGTAGGATGTTCTTCGATACCACTTGTAGTGCCTAAAAGACATGCCCTTCACCTTAAAATGAACATTTTCAGGTGTAGAATAGGGATGTGCCCTAAGACCAATCGACTAGTCTAAAAGCCTCAGAAAACATTGTGTGCATATGCAATCCATTTGAAACGATGAATCAAACAGTCAAATAATTCTTGATACCTTATTATCCAAATTGTTCTTATTTTCCATCAAACGGTTAAAATTTTAAAATTTACACACTGACGGCAACAAAAGCAGCAGACGGCCGAATGAAAATTCAAATTCACTCTCTGACAGCAGGTGGCGCTTTTGGACAAGCAGACATACAGCGAATGCCATGGTTACCCTTGTAAACGCTGCACTAATAAACACTATTTATATTGAGATAACATGAAAAAATGTCAAAGAAAATCAGTTCCCTTTCATTCATAATGTGTCCTGTTTTAAACCTCTATCAAGAGGCGCAAAGAAAATGCATGCATGCAACATCTGAGGTGACATTACTTTATTTTTGGCTTGGTAACATTAAAATGACTAAATTTCCACTAGTCTACTAGTATTTCCAATTTCGACTAGTCTCACTCATCCCTGGTTTAGAATAACATTTAAAAGATTAAATGAGTAAAAGAGTAAATCAGTTTTTCTTGATATAAACATCAGGGCACATAAAAAGTCTTTCATTATGTAATTGCAAACTGAAACCTATTAACTTTTTGGTCAGGATGGTTGGTTCCAGAGACCATATTTAGATGGTATACAGTTTTAAAAATGATTGTTCCAGAAGGATTTTCTTTCCACAACGATGCCATAGAACAACAATTTTTGGATCTCTAAAGAACCTTTCAGTGAACAGTTCTTAAAAGAGTTCTCTTTTTCTTATTGTAATAAATATTAAAATAATCTGAAGAACATTTTTCTATTATAGAGAAGCTTTGTGCAGTGGAAAACTTCTAAACTTTCTTCAAAGCAAATAAGGAGCCTTTATTTTTAGGAGTGTAGATACATCAGATGTATTATTCATTCCAGTCTCCATTCTTCCTCCATCAAATAGATTTTTAAGCTGCTTCAGGCCCCATTCACAGACAGTGGTGATGGTCCCATGTTGCGTCTGGAGGAGCTGGGTGACCAGAGACACGCGCCCTTCAGGCACATCTGCAGACTGTGCTACCGTGTGCTGCGACATTCACAGCAGGACTACAGGAAGAACCAGGTGGGTCTACAGGAGCACCAGCCCACATGGGAGCATCTCTGGTTCAACCTTAAACCTCACAGACCTCATACAACGATTGATATGATATTTAACGAACATTTCAATATTGTTTTTTTATCTGTACGGTTTTTTTTTTCTCATAAAAAATCATATTGTGAAAATGCAGGACCCAAAGTCCCATTTATTTGTTCTCTAAAGCCATGCTGATATGATTCAATTCAGCTTGCCTTCATTTAGATTCTCTCTCATATATTCATAAACTTCAAGATGTTATCTGTGTCTGCAGGCTAGAGATATGCCGGTATCAAATTTTCATGTTGCGATTAATTGCTAATGCTTTTATCACGGTATACGGTATTGTCACGATATTGAAATTTAGTTTAAAAAAAGTGCTGTCATAATACAGTATAACAGGTTTAATAACTTTTTTTCTTATAACAAAAATAACAACATTTAAATGCAATGAAGCAATACAGAAAAAATGTATAAAGTTGGTACCAAAATTGGTACCGAGAACCGTGGATTTTCACTGGTATCGGTACCGAATGCTGAAATTTTGGTACCGTGACAACACTATTACACATGTCTAATGAATACTTTTTAAAGTGTTAAACCATTCTAAAAAACTATATATAATGCCATCTAACCTCAAACACTGAACTTTCAAAGGTTTCAAAATTCAGTGTCATGTATTTGTGGGTGTTGACATATCAATCAATGTAATTAATTAAATATATTTAATGCATTTAATTGTGTTCAATATGGTTTATTAATTTATTCTGTGTTTGACAAAGGAAGTGGCCATGTTTACACACACACACACACACACACACACAGACACACACACACACACAGAAAAAGTCCTTCCAAG